GGTTTCCGGGCCCTTTTTTTTTTTTTTTTGTCGTAGGAGGACCTTCTTTTCTTGCTTTATTTGAATATTCAGTCAAGTCCAAACGAAAAGTTAGAAGGTTTTTAAGCTGTAAAGAGTTTGAAAGTGGTTATTGCATGGAGCTCAGTCCTTTTTTGAACACCACATGACTTACTATATATACATTCCGATGGACTGAAAGAAGCGCATGCAATGCACTGAGGTATAACACCTAACCTTTCCATTTTAATTAGGTTCTTTGGAGGTGGATGATTTGAGTTCACATCCGTACATGATAGATATTTCCTTCAAGGAATATTATCTCAGTTAATATGGGTTTAATTCCGTAATGGGGTTTGTTCTTGAAAGTACATGAACCTCTTGAAAACAAAAAAGACCCACATGCTATATAAACAATTATGATTTTTGTCTCTTAGCCAGTATAAGATAGTAACATCATCATAGCTCTCTAAACAAGAGGCTTGGGTATCACAACAGAATTGCCACCTTTCATTGTAAGTAGTTCCGGATTTTTTTCAAGGTAAGCTATACATTCACATGTTGAGGGGAGAGAAGAAAGGAATTTTTTCAATCTCAAACACAAAAGAAAAATATTTATTTCCTTGTCTATTTCTCTTATATAATACCCACCTAAAAAAATCCTAAATTGATGTAAACATAAAATGGTTATTTGGCAAGTAACATCCACCATCCAACCCACCATTGTTCGTAAAGAAAACCTAGATCTAGTAAAGTTTTTCTAGCTTTACCGGTGCCGCCGTTTGTGGGAATACCATCCATGAGATGCTACCCAAAGCCCTCACCTCAAGAGTTATGATGATATGCTACTATCCTATATTGATTAAGAGAACAAAGTGCATAATCACTTATATAGCATGAAGGTTTCTTATCTCTACAATAGATGTTTTTCCATGAACAAAACTCATTATATAGCTAAACTCATGTCAACTAGGATGATATTTTTTAGGAAGTCTACTATGTGTGGATGTGGACACATGGTATCATTAGTGTTGTTTGTGGAAATATTAGTTATATTACGCTACATAACCCCCCATCAGGGGGCTATAATAATATTATTATCTCACATCGATCAAGAAACGATAATTTTAATAATTGAATATAGGTTATTTGGAATAATACCTCTTGAGAGGCATGTGTAGATGTGTACACACATTATTAGGGGGAAATCCTGCTATAATGAAACTTAAACTAGAAGCAATTATTTAGTTAAATCTAGCAAATTTTGAGGTTTCAGTTGTGAATTCAACCAATATCCTAGTATAGTCCTTCTCGAGAGTATAAAATATAAATCAACCGAACATGTTTGTAGAACTACAACTATTGCTTACTGTGGTTGCATCAGAAATTGGATGTTGTTGAAGGAAGCAAGCTCTTGGCTGATAAAATGTGAAAAGATGGCCTTAAAAAGCCTAATTCTTACCCTAAACTTCCTGTGAAGTAATTGAACATTTAACAAACAGCCTTTTCTTTGTGAAGCACTCCTTTAAAGAAACATTTGTGACCCTTTATGATGATTATGAGAAGGCAAAACTATTTATTTAGATGATATAGGCCATTGGAAATTCATAAGCCTTTCTAGTGGCTGCAAATCCGTGTTTCCTTACAGACATCCTTACTGCTCTCCATGTAATAGCAAGCAGGAAGAGTCCTTTACTAGGGTAAAGTGTTGGTGTTTGGAATCAGGAACTCGACTATTCCGGTTAGCAGAGTAGCACACTGCAATGAGCAAACCATTTTGTCCAAAATCTTTGGAGCCCAACTGATCTGTCAGCTTTTGGGAAAATCATGTGTGGCTTTTTGGCTAAGGCTTAGCTTTATTTTGATGGTGCCAACTGCAACCCACATGGGAATTGCCTACCGAGGGGTCCTAAAGCCTGTGAACGTGTTCTCTCTTCTCCGTGTCCATCCAGTGAAGTTCCACAGCACGCCACTTCATTGGACGCGTAATTTTGCTTTTATTTTCGAAAGAACAAGGAAAAAAAAAGACGACGACTCTAGCTCTTTTTGTTTAAATTGATGGGTATGCCCCACCACAATGTGGTCCATGAGTTTTGTATTTTCACGAATTTGATGATGCCTATGAAATTCTGATGATAGGTTTTTGTTTTTCAATATGGATCTTCCACCAACAGTAGCGGTTCTCGTCCAGGTCATAGTGGACCTTTTGGTCTTGTTATGTCATGAACACTGGTAAAGGTGGAGATGGCTGCAGTTTCTCATGGGGTCCCTTTTTCTCCCTTTCTGTCAGTAAATGAGTCGCTGCAACAACTGAAAAGCCATTTTACTGTTTTGCTAGGTATGCAACTGTTCGAATGTGCAGCCCCCCACACCCCCCCCGCGCGCCTGTCCTTACCACCAGTTACCATCTTGAATGAGGAAAAATTAAAGAAACGAAACAGAGTAATAGTCTGGTGCTGTCTGCAACATATTTCGTCACCCTCTTACATATCCTCAAAGCCAACCTTGTTTTCGAATGGAAATAAAATGACTCGGGATTTCTTTCCCTGCTGAATCTCCAACGAATTTAAATTGACATAGGATGTCTGACAGAAACAGGAACTGGCTTCATCCTAACTGGATGATCCAGTGCTCAAACAAACCGAGTAGCTTCATGGCAAAACACATTGCACTGGCAACCAATTATTTTAGCAACATAGTCCCATAATCTATTCCATGGCCAGCTAGGCCTGTTTTTAGATGAAACTGATCTTTGTGTGCTGCTGTATATAATTCGTAAAACCTGTTGTCTGCCAAGATGATTGCAGTAGAGTTGTTGACAGAAATTCAATCTTAATTGCAATACCATACTGTGACAAATGGTTTACATCTTACAGTCAAATGCAACTTTAAAAGGATTTGGAAATAGGTTGATATTCCAAACTGGAATTATATCACAGAAGGAATGATTTAAAAAATTTCATGCCTTCCAAAAAAAGAGTGATCAGACCAACTGTACACCCCACCCTTAACAAGACCAAGCACGATGCAGCATTTCAGGGAATGTACAACCATGATAACCAAAATGTCTTGAGGCTAAGCATTGGCAAAAAATTTGCAAGCATTGTTTCTGTTCAAGCCTTCTCCTTAGATGGAGATGATATCAAATGATGCAATGTCGCTGCATGGATAACAGCAGTTGGGTTTGGATCCTTAAGTCGGAGAGATCCTGATCGACTCAGACTGAAATTTCGATCAGCACTACTTGTGAAGTGACGCAATGGTTGTGGAAGGTGTCGCAACAGCCAAGTTGAACTCACAAGTAAAATCACACCTACTACGATAAGCAGCCTGAAATAAGGAAAAGCTCAATAAAATAGTATATTATAGCAACATGACAATATCTCATATTTCCTAGCTGGGAATCTGGGATCCCTAATTCCCTATTAGCACATTTTTTTGAGGACTAGGTTTCATCAGTCAGAAAAACAATTAATAAATTCTACAAAATTGGCCATGGATGGTAGATTAATATAATTGCGTGGAGTTCAACTTTTTTTTTTTTTTGGTTCAGATTGTATTTAACTTTTTTTTTTTTTTTGGTTCAGATTGTATTCAGTTGTCAAGCATACTAAAATGGGACTGAATACTTCCATTGGCCCATGCCAAATGGGGAAATTTCATTAAGATGGAAGTGAAGGTTTTAAAATCAGATGTCCACAAAATTGTCCAACCATAGATTTTTTTCCACATCCAACTTCTTGAATAGGGCACCGTCACTGTGGTATAGCATCAAATTACATGGGCTTTATGAACCCACGACTTAGGGCATCAAGTGCATATCAAGATACTCAAATATAAAAGAGCAATTGTTTAATAAAAACTTTGCTTAACAGTTACCATCCGAGAAGAAGAGAAAAACGAGCAGCCGGTGCTGAAGGCAACCGTTCCCCCAGAGCAAGCATTCCAGCAAGTACACCAGTCACTATTGATGCCACGGCAGCACATGTAGACAACACAATTGCCCTTCCATGTTTTAGACCTTGGGTCTGTTCAGAAGGAAAGCATAAATCAGTTTGATCTGTCAACTTTTCTACACACACAGG